AAAAAACCAAAACGACAACACTTTTTGACCGAAACGGCAAAATAAGTCAAAACGGCAAGACCAAACAATGCTTAACAATTTATGTCATAAAAGTAAAAACGGAAAAAAAAAACTAATTATACTGTAAACATGAAATTGTACAGTTACTATGATTAAATGTGCTAAAAATGAAGGCTAAATTGTAGCAGCAGCAATAATAATAATAATAATAATAATAATAATAATAATGATAATGATAATAATAATAATAATAATAATATTAATAATAATAATAATAATATTAATAATAATAATAATAATCATACAAATTCAATATTAAAAAGATTGGGGAAGGGGAAAGTATATAAAAGCAGTAAAACATTTAAACAAATAAAACTTTCAAATACAGACAAAATGAGGCTAAACAATTTATGTCATAAAAGTAGAAAATGTGAAATAATAATAATAATAAACATTGAAAGTGGGAAAAAGATCTAGAGCCTATGGCAATACTCGATTTGCCTATCTTTCAAAACGATTCAAAAAATTATAAACTGCGGCCCGCACCCGATGGTGCTTGCTAGTCTTGGCGTTGATTTCGCTCCTTTGCAATTTTGGTCTATGCCGCTTTGGTACTTGTCAATTTGCCGTTTTGGTTCATTGCCGTTTTGGTCATTGCCGTTTTGGTTTATTGCCGTTTTTAACTGCTACCCCTAGGCCTAGACCAAAAATGACAAAGGAGCAAAATCAATGCCAAGAAAGAGCAAGTGCCGCCATGCGTGGGCCGCAGTTTATAATTTTCTGAATCGTCTTCAAATTGACCCAATCGTCTGTAGGTAGGCAAATTAGGCTTTATTTCCGGCTTTTAATGTTTAGTTGCATTTTTTTTTTTTCGCTTTTATGACAAAAAATGTTTTAGCCTCATTTTGTCTGTATTTTAAAGTTTTATTTATATGAATGTTTTCTTTTATATTGTGTTTCCCTCAATATTTTTATTAAATTTGTATGTTGTTATAATTTATATTGTTATAGGCCTATTATTATTTGTATCTTCATTTTCATTGTTATTAATGTTTTTTCACATTTTTTACATGACATAAGGTTTTAGCCTCATTTTATCTTTATTTTAATGTCTTTTTATATACTTACATTTTTGCCATATTTAATCGTGGTACATCTTTTTTGTAGGACTATCATTGGAAATAAAAGTTATACTTCAGAAAATGTACATAGGCCACCCTTACATCATCTTTTATTGACATTTGTTTATTTTTATTGAATTTTATCTTTTTTGGTACAATATTTTAATTTGGAATAAAC